GTAATGTCACCATCAAAGTGGGTAAGATACTAAACCCAACAACACTGGAGTCCAGAGCCCCTTCCAGCTTAGCAATTCTTCCACAAAATCTAATGATCATACTGTAAAACTTTGGAACAACATGGGAGGGAGTATGTTTGCCAATCTGTCTAACTGCGTTCAAAGGTATGTGGCCCCGTAAAAGCGGGCCTGACACAATAACGGTTTTATAAGAAAGTTTTCCACATGAGACTATAATAATAGAATAGAAGGGAGATTCAGAAATGTGAAGTAAAAAGATGGAGGATTGAAAGGGGGGGGCAAAAGTGTATTCAGAGCTGTTCTGAATCTCTGCTGAAGAAGTAACTAAGCTTACATGTAGAAATTCCAAAAATTCTTAGTGCTACACAGGGCCTGGCTTTAGCAGATAACGGGACAGGGCGTTGCTAGGATACAGGCTGGTAAAAGAGGCCCCAGCTAGGTGAACAAGACAAACCCCACCCAGGTAACGGAAAATTACTGAAGATGATGGGGCATGGGGAAGGGGGAGGGAGCTTTGCTTGGAGTTAGGTGAGATTGTGAGGGGGTGTGGCTGATTGGTCCACCCAGCCAGAGAGGGGGGGGTATAAAGAATTTCTGTGCTGCGCCACAGCTTCAGAGAGACGACGGAGACCACCTCTAACGTCTCTCTCCATGGTTTGCAAACTATGCTTCAATAAACGCTGTACTTGAGAGAGCTTCCGTGTTGGATTTTCCTGCTTGACTCGTGTCCGGTTAATTAACACGTAACACCAGGAGCACCTTAAAGACTAACAAAATTTGTGGCAGGGGCTGAGCTTCCGTAAGTCCTTGCTCACTTCTTTTGTAGTTCTAAGGTGTTCCTGGACTCTTGCTCTTTTCTACTGCTACAGGCAGACTAACACAGTGGAATCAAACCTTGTTCTGCTATATTATTATTATTTGATAGTAGCGACACAAAAATGGAGTATTGGGGCTAAAGTCTCCCTTTTGTTTTAGATAAGGTTACTACATGGCCTCTTTTTTTTGGTCTGTCCTCTTTTGGGCTGTTTTTAACAAACTGATGAAAATGTCCTCTTTTGGGGTTGGAAGGTTAGGAACGTAAGACACAAAGGGTGCCTCTGGTTGTGTTTCCCAACCCAATTTGAGAAACACACGACACAGTCCTGTAGAGAGGAATTCACTAGAATATTTATTAATTAATAAAGGACGAGTACAGATCTCAAGGTTTTGGAACCCTGAATACCCAACAGACTCTTCGAGTATTACAATGGGTGACATAGGATTTTATACTCAAGATGGTACACACAAATAAAACAAGATCAAACATCAGCACTCTGACCTAACAGGTCTCTGATTGGCAGAAAAACTTTTAGGCTGGGCTTTCCCAAGTAAAGTTTTTTCTTTTAGCTGAACAATAATTGTTTCTTTCTCTTAGACTGTAAAATTCTAAAAGTATCTATATATCTGATATGGTTTACAAGGTGCCATTGTTCTTCGTTTCGCCAGAGACATGCGCAGTTAAAGCTGGCCTGCCAAGGCCATAAGCCTCAGCAAAAATAGCAAGTTAACATTTTGTTCTTTCAGCATTTTACCTTCCCAGCATGCATCCAAACAACACTCACAAATGAACCAAAGTTAATATCTGAATACATTCATGATGTTAGAATCATAAATGGCACTTAACATATGCACCATGGAAGTGCTAAGTGCACCCACCAAGTCAAACCTGTTAGTCAGTGGCAGAGTATAAAGTGTCCTTGTTAGCAGCAATTATCACAGCTTAAAGAGTAGGGGTATTGAAATTGGGATTTGTCATCTTGATCACTTTTTTGAAGTAGTCAGTCAGGAAATATAGAACAAAGCTTGAGTCCAGCGGCACTGTTAAGACCAACAAAATTTAATTCTGGGTCTAAGCTTTTGTGTGCAGGCACACTTCTTCAGATACAATGTGCATGCACACAAATAGTACTCATGAAACACAATGTGCATGCACCCATGAAAGCTTATACCCAGATTTAAAGGTGCCACTGGACTCAAACTTTGCTCTGTTGCTGCTTCAGACCAACGTGGCTTCTCACCTGGATCTATAGTCAGGAAGCACGTGTCCTTTTTTTGCTTTTCAAAATCTGGTAACCCTAGTTTTAGCATTAATAGTAAAATAATAAGGTGTTGTCGCTATGATACGAGTGTCAATATGTATTTGTTAAAATACTCTGATTTTGCTTTAGGAAGGAAAAGCAGGACTTTAATAAATAATCAGTAACGAGCTAATGAATCATCATAACTAATAAAACAGCCGCTCCACTTTTTATTGACTGCAAAGAGCGCCCCCCCCCCCACATAAAAGTTTAGGTTCTAAACCCAGCTTGGTTCCCAGCACCTGGCCCTTATATAGCACCAGGCGATGTTTCAATGGGGTCATTATTTATTTATTTATTTATTTATCTATTTATTTTGGTGTGTTTTTTTAAGGAAGCCCTCTGGTTGCCATGGCAACGCCGCTTCCTGGTTGGCGCCAGGGGGAAAAGGAAGCTCAAGCCCCGCCCTTGATTAGCATAAGGATGGCCGCTGAGGAGGCTCCGGGAGCCCCCCTGGCCTCTCTAGGCGTGGGTGGGAGGATAGACAGAGAGAGAGCCGCCCGACTGAGAGGGAGTCTTGGGAGGGAGTCACGTTTCTCCCGCTTCCGGCTTGCCGTAGCTGCGTGACGTCTTCGGCCGAGCGGATGTGCCTCCGTTGATTGGGTCTCGGCCCACGCGGGGCATGCGCACTAAGGGGGTTTACCGCGGGAGAGGCACGGATGAAGGGAGGGGCCCCCTTGGGCTCTTAAAGGGGCAGTGCCATTGAAGGGGTGGTGGGGGAGAAGGTGGCTGCATCTGCTGCAAAATGGTGAGTGCGGGGCTTTCCGGGGGTCTCGCAGCGCTCCCTTTCCCTGGGAAGGTCTGGGCTTGCGGTGTAGCGTGTGCAATTTATCGGTGTGATAAATATACATGCATATATGGTGAATAATTATATATATTATGCGTGTTATATTTAATATTATTTATATGATTAACATATGCATGTGTCTTTATAGGCATATATGATCTCCCACTTTCACAATAATGCGGTGATCGGGGCCTTTTTAATTTTTTTTTTTTTAGAAAGGAGATAAATTAGCTCAAAACGTACGAGGCTTGTTGTATCCTGGGAAATGAGGAACCCCGACCCTGTGGGGCGGGAGATTGCATATTGCAACTTTAAAGGAACGCGTTGCAAAAAACAACAACCGTGAATTATACTGATATTAACGGCATCCCGTTGGCAGGCGCAATGGCTTTACTGTAAAGTGGGTTCTGGAGCAATAGCCTCACTTGGCATTCCCTGAGAAAGGGTTAGGAGAGAATTTGCCATCCACCCTCAGTGTTCCTGCTGCTCCTTCTTACATTTAGGCTTGGTCGGGTCCAAAAATACAGATCGGCTCGTGTTGACTAGGGAGAGAATAAATCTGTGAGCAATGGCTGGGATTGCAAAAAAACACGCACACGCGAAAGGAGTTTCAAAGAGGTCTTTCCTTGCTTTTATCCATAGTGTTTCCTTGCCTTGCACATCTGGTTGCCCTAACCTACTTGGACTTTAGTCTGTCTGTCTCTCTCCCCCTGTGAAAAAGACTAGAAATTGGGGGGATGTTTCGAGGGCTATTTCGTGTGAATTTGTTAGGTTTGACCCAGTAACACCTTAGAGTCCAACAACATTTTAAGGGTGTGAGCTTTTGAGAGTCAAAGGTCCCTTTGTCAGAGAGTATCTGACAAAGAGCTTTGACTCTCAAAACCTTGTACCCCCCCCAAAAAAAAATCTTGTTGGTCTCTAAAGTGTACTGGGTTCGAATCTTGCTGTTAATTTATTTATTTTATTAGATTTATATACCGCCCTCCCCAATGGGCTCAGGGTACAACAATGGGCTCAGGGTACAACAATTAAATATACAATTAAAACAGTATTAAAATAACAATTTACACATAGAATCATCAAATAACGTATAATTATAAAAGTTGTCAGATGACTAATCAAAACAGGCCTGGTGGGCGATTGGTCTGAAAAAACTGGGCAGAAAAATTTAGGGCCCGAAAAGCTGGAGGGAGGGAGAGGGGTGACGTCCGCTGCCTCAACCAAATGCCCCGCGGAAGAGCTCCGTCTTGCAGGCCCTGCGGAACGGCAATAAATCCCGCAGGGCCCTGATCTCACATGGGAGCTCATTCTACCAGGCAGGGGCCAGGGCTGAAAAAGTCCTGGCCCTGGTCAAAGCTAGCCTGACGTCCCTGGGGCCGGGAACCACTAACAGATGCTGATTTGTGGACCTCAGTATCCTCCGGGGCTCATTTGGGGAGAGGCAGTCTCGTAGGTATGCTTTGCAAAAATCTTACATTGCAAACCAGCACAGCTACACTCTGAAACTATCTTAATGTGAATTTGTGCTCTTTTATTATAGCTTAGTTAATGGGGAATTGGGATTTTACTTTTCTGGGTTTGCCGTCACCAAGGAGGGCAAAAGGGAATAACTAATCCACTAATCTGAATGGGTGTGTGTGTGAAGCAATCAGCTCCTGTTCCTTGCTCTGGCATGAGTGTGTGCGTCCTTGACTTAGCTGGCTGATCACAGCATTCTTCTCTCATCTTTTACCTTCCTGAATGCATAAAGAAGCTCTTGCAGCCTGTATCAATGACTCGTGTAATTTCACCACGTCTTTAAAATTAACCGTCTTCGAAAAACATGTTAGCCTTTGAGGTGCCAACGATGTGTGTTCCTGCTACAACAAACCGACACAGCTACTCCACAGGGGTGTTGGAATGACTCCCAGTTACTTGCAGTTTTATCCTCTATGTTCTTACTTAGAGGAACGTTCCACAGAATTCACCGGGACTGCTGTTGCCATAAAAAGATGGATTGCAGCAATAACCCCCAAGTGACGCTGTAGGAGTGACACAACGCGGATTGATTGACACAACGTGGATTGATATTTGTGGCCAAAAGCTTGTTAGCGAGCCTGGAAGTTTTCTCTCTCCTTGGCTGTTTCAAGTTATCCCTCCTTGTGGAGCAGCAGCCCAAGTCTGTGTTAGCAGTGACTGGAGGAACAGAGGGATGGCTATTTCAACAGGCTTCCTTGGGAGGTGGAGGGCTCTCCTTTGGAGGTTTTCAAACGGAGGCTCAATGGCCATCTGAAAAGCAATGCTGAATCTGTGAACTTAGGCAGATCATGAGAGGGAGGGCAGGAAGGGTTGCCTCAGTGCTTAGTTCTTTTTGTGGCCCTTCCTTACACGCCTAGTGAAATGCTGTTTGCCACTTTATGGTTCGGAAGCAATTTTTCTCCAGGCTAGTTTGGCCAGGGATCCTGGAGGGGTTTTTGTCATCTTCTGGGCACGGAACAGGGGTCAGTGGGGGTGTTGGAGGGGGGGAGGTATTTGTGAATTTCCTGCATTGTGCAGGGGGTTTGGACTAGATGACCCCGGAGATCCCTTCCAACTCTATGATTCTCTTCATTCCTGGCATAAAAGGGGCACCTTTTTAAAGCTCCCTTCTGTCCATTGTCCAGGAAAAGGCTAAATTAATAATGGTAAAAAGGTAAAGGTTCCCTTGCTTAAAAGCCAGGCGAATCCGACTCTAGGGTTGCGGTGCTCGGTGCTCATCTCCGTTTCAAAGCCGAAGAGCCAGCGCTGTCTGAATACGTTTCCGTGGTCATGTGGCCTGCATGACTAAACACCAAGGCGCACGGAACACTGTTAACCTTCCAACTGAAGTGGTACCTATTTATCTACTTGCAATTTCTTGCTTTCGAACTGCTAGGTTGGCAGGAAATTAATAATGGCCCTCTTCCCAAATGTGGGGCCCTGCTTTGGAAAAGCCCTTGGCTATTCTCTCCTCTCTCTCTCTCTCTCTCTCACCCCCCCCCCCCACTTCCCAGCTGCTACTTAGGAAATGGCTCTCCTGCGGTATAACCGCTCGTGTCTGATTTCTTGCTCATCCTCTTCGCATGCAGGGGTGGTGATTGGGTCTCTCTGTGAGGCTTTGCGTTACTTCTCCCTCACCGCACACTCACACACGTGTGGTGGATCAAACGGCACAGTGCTCTATATAATTTGGAAGGGTAGATACGGCTGCGCTGGGACAACAAGCTGTGTTCCCACATAGCTCCATGGGACCCCACCAGTGTTCCTTCTAAGCTGAGTTAGTGTGAGCTAGCTCACAGTTTTTTAGCCTCCAGCTCACACATTTTTCTCTTAGCTCAGGAAGGCGGCCTCCAGAGCCAACTAAGTTATGCAGCAGCCAAGTCGCTCGCTCACAACTTTAGTGCCAGTAGCTCACAAAGTAGAATTTTTGCTCACAAGACTCCGCAGCTTAGAGGGAACATTGGACCCCACGTGGAGTACCTGCATAACCCTCTGCTCCAACAAGTACAGGTAATGGGAGTTGCAAATGACTTACGGCCACCCTCGAACTCATTTGTTACGAGGGCTGGATCTGACGTAAATGAGACCTTGTTGGGCCAGGCCATGTGTGTCATAAAAGGTAATGCTGGGTAGCGGAGATATAAACGTTATAAAGGACGCAAACACAAAGGTGTTTTTTTAAAAAACTTAAAATAAAAACATGCTTAAACCATTAGCTCTGTAGGCCGCAAACCTGCTTTTGATTTATTGGCATTCACCACAGAAATCTCATGCTCAGGGTTCTGAGTGCAGGACCCAGGTTAAAACATGAAATGGCTGAGCGATTGAGAGAGTCTGGGCGAAGCAAGCTACGATGCAGCAAAAGCAGCAGCAGAACTGGAAGCAGGAGATGGCCAATTCCGCTGCGGGCCTGATGGGAGCCCTCCAGGCCCTGATCCGGCCCCTGGGCCACATGTTTGACACCCCTGCTGTACGGTTTTCAAGGCAAGAGACGACCAGAGATGATTTGACATTGACATTAGCAGGCAAGATTGGGCTAGCCTGGGCTATCCAGTTCAGGGCATAATAATTATGTGCTGCCTAGGGTTGCCAGACCCCCCAGTTTGGCGGAGGTTACCTGCTTTTGGGGGGTTCTACCCGCCGCCTGGCCAGAGGGGGAAGCCCTGCCCCCAGCACCCACAGCCACCCCCTCTCTCTTCTCTCTTGAGAGAGGAAGGAGAGGGGCGGCTGCAGGCGGGGGACTCCAGGCTGAGGACGCTTAAAGGAACCCCTTTAATTTCAATCAGTCAATCAATCAGAACCTTTATCGGCATATCGACAGAACGTACAGCAGGGGCTTTCATGCGAGCTCGGTTCGACGTCCTTCCCTTAGCTGTTTTATTTTATTTATTATTTATTTATTTGTTAGATTTATACCCCGCCCTCCCCAGCAGGCTCAGGGCGGCTACAACAAAGGCAATTGCCATAACAACAGTTAAAACAACATAAAAACAATCATTAAATAAAGTGCGGTACTCTTGATGTTAAAATTTTTCTCAAACCAAGATGAGTTCCATTCATCAACCTAACCTGGCAGCATGCACTCTTCGGTTGACTAGGCGTCTGCCCAGGGCCGGCTCACCTCCAGATCTAATCCACCGTCGAAGATGGCAAATCGGTGGTGGTACAGTGACGGCGGCGGCTCCTATGCAAAGGCCTGGCGGAAGAGCTCCATCTTGCAAGCCCTGTGGAACTGCGCCAGGTCCCGCAGGTCCCGAACCTGCTCTGGGAGCTCATTCCACCAGACAGGAGCCGCCGCCGAGAAAGCCCTGGCCCTGGTTGCAGCCAACTTGATGTCCTTGGGGCCAGGAACCATCAATAGGTGCTGCGACCCCGACAGTAGCGCTCTTGGGGGAAGGTTCAAGAAAATTCCCTGTAAAGATAGATTGTGCCCATGTGGGATGGGGGAAATTGAATCTATTGGA